AAGACACCTCGAGTGCCATGCATGGCACTAGTGCCGTAGGTTGCCTACCCCTGACCTATAACATCATTCCATTTTAACACCTGTAGGGCTTGCACAATTGGTTATAAAATGTCAATGTGGAAAAATCCCCGATTCACAATTCAAAGGGTTGCCTACTTTTCTCAGCATCATAAGTAAATCAATTGGAAACAGGTCTGAGGGTTTCCATAAGTGGACCCAACAGCTTCAAGAATTCTAGAAAACAAATGCATGGGGGACATAGCTCTAATCATGGAACAGTAAAAATATAATGTGTTTTGAAAATGTCAACCTCCTCAGAAATACAAAATAAAAAAGTGAGACACAAAGTATAAATAAATACACAAATAAACGGTTGATCTAGAAAATACAAATATAGAGAAAAGGACCATAGGGTAAAATAGTAAAAACAACGACTGATGATTGGAAAATTAAATTAACATATGAAATAGTCCCTGTAATATTATTTTTTTAGATCTATCTTTATTGAGGACAGACAAATTAAAAGTAAAACTTTTTTAAGCAGGTTGATGTTAATAGATTTATCAATTTTAATAGTTTTCATTTTAAACAATGTTGGCCAACATACCCAAAGGCCAATTTCTCAGACTCAGACGTAACTGTACACAACTTGAGGACTATAAAAGGCAGTCAATGGATCTCAAAAAACTATTTATAGATTAAGGATATGATCCTACTGTAATACAACAAATATATGAGGAGATAGGAAATTAACCAAGGGACCAGCTATTGGAATACAAAACCAGATTAAAATTAAATATAGAAAAAGACAAGGAGATTCCTTTAATTTTTAATTATTGTTCCAACACTTCTCATTTACATAAAATTATTTTACATTTTTTTTATATTTTAGAAGAGGATCAAGATATCCAGAGTTTGCTTGGAAACAAACCAAAAATTATTTATAGGGGGCTAATAATTTTAGACGTATTTTAACAAATAGAGATCATGAATGGATCAGCGCTAGCAGGCCACAGAAACTGTAAATATAAAAAATGGCAGCACACCTAGAGACAATGGGGTTCCCTCTTACACCCCACAATGTAAACGTAAAGAAAGAAACAAAGAAGGTTGCACCTGTATTATATTGGAATATATGTAAGATAGATATAAAAAGATTTAAAAATATAAAAAGTATAAAAACAGGAAAGAGAGGTGTATATATATCAGATAAAATGGTAAATAAGATAACATAAATTAGTATAAAGTTACAAATTTCCAAATAAGACCACCAGTAAGAAAGGAGATTCGTTATGAAGCAGCAAACTGTTGATAGTAGTGATGTCACAGAATAGGACTTGGTATCAAGTGGAACATATGAAAGAAAGTAGACATGAAAAACTCCACTGGTACAGTATGTATATACAATATTTATGTAGGTTATATGAGGTGAAATATTACTCACATTTTACAGAGCTAAAATCCCGATAAGATTGCAATAAACAGTATAAATTGCAGCAACCAATCAAAATCCTGATAATAAGATTTAGATAAAAGACAACACATAAAAAATATTGGTGCGCAGTATTTCAAAACACCCTCTGTGGATATATTTTAAAACTTCTTAAGGTGACATTGCACAATCCCCAGGCTTAAGTGTAGATGTATATAAAACTTCTTAGAGTCATATTACACAATTCACAAACCTAAGTGTGTTTATAGGTGTATTAACACGCAATAGTGAGTGATTCAATAAAACATACAACTAACAGTGGGACATATACATATTCTTGCAATCTAGTACAGTCACAACTACAAGGGGACAAAAATATAGAAGGAACTCCTAATGCAATAGAGTTACATACAAGGAATAAACCAGAAAAAAAATTAATAGTTGGTATCTAATTCACAAGTTGAGAGTGGTAAAAGCCCAACTCACAGCTATATCGCCCAGGGATGATCAGTCCCTAGAGTGTGTGATATCCAATGGATTCATAAACAGCCAGGATAGTAGGTAGTTAAATGCTTTATTCAAATAGTATTTAAAAACAAATGCAGCAGATAGTCAAATCCCTCGTCTGCTCACCAGTCCAGGGAAATGTAACAGTTCAATGAAGTCTATAAACAGTATTCAATACCCAGATGTGGCCGGTCTTGTCAATGCAGACAGAAGGAGTAACTATAGGACCAGTTGCGAATAATAAAAAAAAAAAAGATATACTCACAATTTACTGAGCAGGCTCACTGCTCGGTGTGTAGCGTGTAGGTGGTATAATCCCCACCTGGGATTCTTTGGTCTTCTTAAGAGATAGCAGGGGTGATGTCAGGCATAAACAAAAACTAAAAAAACTAAAAAACAAGGTCAAAATAATAAAAAGATAAAAAAAGGAATATGGCAAAAGTGGTATATATAGCCAAAAAATCCTTTATTAATTAAGCAATAAAAGTTTCTAAACGCATTTCACCTCACAGGGCTTCTTCAAGTAGAAACAAACAATAAATCTCAAGCCTGACAAACAGTGATATATATATATATATATATATATATATAGGAAGCATTAATAGAACAAACATAAGATGGATAAACAGCATAAGAGGTATCTGTATATAATTATTATTAAAACCGAGACTTTAAAAATAAGTAAAAAAGAAATCACATGACACGCGACTTTACTTCTGCATCACGTGACCTCCTAGATTAGGTCAGCTAAGGTGGCGCGTGCGCAATAGTGGATGAGAGGAAGCGTGTGTAGACCTCTCCTCCTAGCGTGCAGAGGCCAAATAAAATGCCTGCAGTAGGGGTGGGATCGCCGCGTCATCACAAAGGGAGGCGTTATGTGATGACGTCGGCGAGAGGACGGCGAGAAAGAGCTTCAAAAGGGAGAAGCTAGAACGGATCCATACCCTTCTACAGCATTAATCTGAGAGTCAAATAGAAGCGTCAAATAATGCGGTTACAGAGCAATTGTAAACATTCTTATTTTCTGTGTGCTAATCTGCTAAATAGTACCTTAGTGGGGTGCACTTCATATCTGTGACTCAAATAGTGCACTGACAGCGCAGTTGTAAAAATTCTAATTGTTTTGCTGCTAAACTACGAAATAGTAAATTTTGGGCGTGCTCTTCATATCTGAGAGTCAAATAGAAGCATCAAATAGTGCGCTTACAGCGCAGTTGTAAAAATTCTAATTGTTTTCTTGCTAAACTGCTAAATAGTACATTAGTGGGGTGCACTTCATATCTGAGAGTCAAATAGAAGCGTCAAATAGTGCGCTTACAGCGCAGTTGTAAACATTCTAATTGTTTTGCTGCTAATCTGCTAAATAGTATATTTTGGGCGTGCTCTTCATTTCTGAGAGTCAAATAGAAGCGTCAAATAGTGCGGTTACAGCGCAATTGTAAACATTCTTATTTTCTGTGTGCTAATCTGCTAAATAGTACATTAGTGGGGTGCACTTCATATCTGAGAGTCAAATAGAAGTGTCAAATAGTGCGCTGACAGTGCAGTTGTAGAAATTCTAATTGTTTTGCTTCTAAACTGCTAAATAGTAAATTTTGGGCATGCTCTTCATATCTAAGAGTCAAATAGAAGCATCAAATAGTGCGCTTACAGCGCAGTTGTAAAAATTAGAATTGTTTTGCTGCTAAACTGCTAAATAGTACATTAGTGGGGTGCACTTCATATCTGAGAGTCAAATAGAAGCGTCAAATAATAGTGCGCTTACAGCGCAGTTGTAAAAATTCTAATTGTTTTGTTGCTAAACTGCAAAATAGTACATTAGTGGGGTGCACTTCATATCTGAGAGTCAAATAGAAGCGTCAAATAGTGCGCTTACAGCGCAGTTATAAACATGCTAATTGTTTTGCTGCTAATCTGCTAAATAGTACATTTTGGGCGTGCTCTTCATATCTGAGAGTCAAATAGAAGGGTCAAATATTGCGCTTGCAGCGCAGTTGTAAAAATTCTAATTGTTTTGCTGCTAAACTGCTAAATAGTAAGTTTGGGGCGTGCTCTTCATATCTGAGAGTCAATTAAAACCGTCAAATAGTGCTGTGACATAGCATTTTTAAACATTCACATTTTTTAGCTGCTAAATAGTACATTTGCGGCCTGCGGTGCACTTCATATCTGAGAGTCAAATAGAACCGTCAAATACCAATATAACAATATCGTAATTCGGGGGCAATACCCTCACAAGTCAAACTGAGAGGTCAGTTTATAGGGAAAACTGTTGCCTGGATACAATTCTAAAACAATTTCCATATGTCCTTTGCAGACTTTACATGCTGGAAAAACACAGATGCCAACTGCTGTGGCTTTCTGCAGTGTGCAGACCGGCAAGGAGGGAAGGGTTAAGGAGTGGGTGGAAGTTGATGTGGAGCATGATGAGGTCCTAGACCCCACATGGAATCAAGGTCATGCGAGTGACGTGTGCAGTTTGGAGGAAGAGGAGCTGGTCGCATAGAGGCGCCAGCACAGCATAAGAGGGAGCAGGGTGCAAAAGCGGAGCGGCCATCCCCTAGCGCTTGTCGTCATGTATTATCTTTAGAATTCCCACAGTTATCCAAGTAACAGATGGAGCGATAAAAGGAACCATAACAGATTTAACGAGCCATTCGCAGTTTTGCAGTCCGGTGACCGGGACCCAGACACTGTCTGGGCGGTGGTCGGACGTCCGGGACCCAGTATGCCCGATGTTTAAATTAGGAGTCACAGTGTGGAATCGATTAGCAGGGTCTGGTGCAGGGTTACCGCACGCCCCCTGGTGTTGAGCACCAGCGTTTGTGCGGCCACACACCAGGACCCTGATGCAGCTTCAGTAAAAAGAGTACTGGATACCAGAAGCCATCGCCAGACTGATCCCCAACTTGGAACAGGATGTGACATTCACTGTAGTGGCTGTGCGCTCTTTCAGTGTTCTCACCCTGCTGCTGCCTGCCTGTCTGCGCTGCAGCGTAACTTTGTACTTCCCGCTCACCCCCTCATGAGACTGTGCGAGCAGCAGCAGGCGATAGTGGAGTTTCAGCTGCAGCACACATGGGTCAGTCGCTCTGCACCAGACTTGCCCTACAATTAATCAGAGTTAAAGGATTTCAAGTGTACTCATTACAATTACAGGGCCTCTAAAGAGTCCTGTATTGTTATTTGTCGTCACTACCTTCCCGCTTCGGGAGTAGGTTATTTGCGCGCCTGCTGCCTTCCTTGCATGTGGTAGCCGTTTCTCAGGCTCCCTCTCAGGAATCGAACCCTGATTCCCCGTTACCTGTGGTCACCATGGTGGGTGCAGTAAATGGCATCGAAAGTGGATATGGATGACATACGAATGCGATGTCGCCTTGTCGTTGGGGAGCCCATTGAAAATGTGCTCTAGCATGATGAGCTGAGTGATCTCCTGTGGGAATGTGGCTTGATGGGAGTTGAGCAAGTTCTGGGTGGCCCTTGTGATGCAGCATGCCCACTCCACATGGAAGTCCTTCTCCCCTTTCCGGGTCTCCCTAAACTTTCGGCGGTATTGCCCGGGGGTGACCGCATACCGGGCCAGGAGGATTTGGGTAATAAAGGGATAGTCTCTGATCTGCTCTTTTGGTACAGCCCGGTAAATATCCGCTGCCTTCCCCACTAGTTTCCTGGCCAGGATGGTGACCCAGTCGCTGGGGTCCACGTCTTGGAGTAGGCACTGGCGCTCAAAGTCTTGTAAAAAGTCATTGATGCCTTCTTCTACTTCCTTGAAGTCTTTGAAGGCATTATATGGTAGCTTGTGGGCTAGGGTGGTTGTGCTTCCCGGCGCCTTCTGCTCCCTTCTTCCTTCATCTGGGTTCATGGAGGTCGCCCTCTGTCTATTGGCAAGGACATAGGCTTGCACCTCCAAAAAGGTCCTGCTGACAATCTCCTCTGAGGGTGGCTCTCTGGAATATGCCAGGCGCTGTTACACCTCCTTGCGCACTTCCTCCTCATCTCCTGCTGCTGCTCGCCTGTCTGCGCTGCAGCGTAACTTCCCGCTCACCACCTCATGAGACTGTGCGAGCAGCAGCAGGCGATAGTGGAGTTTCAGCTGCAGCACGCACAGGTCAGTCACTCTGCGGAACAGAGTTGTCTTTTTTTATATGTCCCAATATTTTGGGGGCTATCCCAATTAAAAAAAAAAATATATATATATATTTAAAAAATCAGTGCTGGCTACCTCCTCCTCCACCGCTGCTTCCACCTACACCGCCACGGTCACCGCCTCCTCGACCTATGAGTCACGTAGTATAAACTATGTACACAATAGCAAAGGCTTGTGAAGGCCTTTTCTCCATGCATCAGGAGTTGAGCATTTCTCAATGCATCAGGACTGCAAGAAAAGCACCGCAGGACGCAATTGTTTCTTTTTTTATATGTCCCAATATTTTGGGGGCTACCCCAATTAAAAAAATATATATATATATAAAAAACAGTGTTGGTTGCCTCTTCCTCCTCCACCGCTGCTTCCACCTACACCGCCACGGTCACCGCCTCCTCAACCTATGGGTCACTTAGTATAAACTATGTACACAATAGCAGAGGCTTGTGAAGGCCTTTTCTTCATGCATCAGGAGTTGAGCATTCCTCCATGCATCAGGACTGCAAGAAATGCACCGCAGTCCGCAAATGTTTCTTTTTTTATATGTCCCAATATTTTGGGCGCTACCCCAATTAAAAAACAAAAAAAACAGTGTTGGCTACCTCCTCCTCCTCCACCGCCGCTTCCACCTACACCACCACGTTCACAGCCTCCTTAACCCCTTAAGGACGGAGCCAAATGCACACGTTGTGAACAAAACAAAATGTAAACAAAACCTGGCATTTGCGCTACATGTCTGTCCAACCGTAATACACCTCTTTCATAGTAAATGCACCCACCCTTATTATATATCATTTTATTCAGGGGAAACAGGGCTTTCATTTAATATCAAATATTTAGCTATGAAACATAATTTAATATGAAAAAAATGGGAGAAAATACGATTTTATTGGATTTTTTTAGTTCTACATGACATTTAAACGGTCAGTGTCATAATACTGTTTGCTTTTACTGCAATAAAATACACATATTTGTATTCAGCAAAGTCTCACGTGTAAAACAGTACCCCCTATGTACAGGGTTTATGGCGTTTTGGGAAGTTACAGGGTCAAATATAGCACGTTACATTTGAAATTGAAATTCGCCAGATTGGTTACGTTGCCTTTGAGACTGTATAGTAGCCCAGGAATGAAATTTACACCCATAATGGCATACCATTTGCAATAGTAGACAACCCAAGGTATTGCAAATGGGGTATGTCCAGTCTTTTTAGTAGCCATTTGGTCACAAACACTGGCCAAAGTTAGCGTTAGTATTTGTTTGTGTGTGAAAAATGCAAAAAGCGCCAATTTTGGCCAGTGTTTGTGACTAAGTGGCTACTAAAGACTGGACATACCCTGTTTGCAATACCTTAGGTTGTCTACTATTGCAAATGGTATGCCATCATAGGGGCAATTTTCATTCTTGGGCTACCATAGGGTCTCAAAAGCAACGTAACCAATCTGGCGAATTTTAATGTGAAAAAAATGAAACACAAGCCTTATATTTGACGCTGTAACTTTTGAAACACCATAAAACCTGTACCTGAGGGGTACTGTTGTACTCGGGAGACTTCACTGACAAATATTTGTGTTTCAAAACAGTAAAGTATCATAGCAATAATATTGTCGTTTAATGCTGTTTGATAGCGTGAAAATGCAAAAACGTCACTTTTACTGGCGATATCATCGTTGTAATACATTTTACTGTTTTGAAACACTAATATTTGTGTTCAGCGAAGTCTCGAGTAGAACAGTACCCCCCATGTACAGGTTTTATGGTGTCTTGGAAAGTTATAGGGTTAAATATAGTGCTAGCAAATTAAATTCCCTTTACTTTAGGCATGGGTTGTCAGGCAGGTCCCGCTAATTGTAATTAATTAAGATACCTAATTATGTAAAAATATTACATAAATATATATGTAGAATTAATATATGTATATATATATATACGTATGTGTATATATATATGTATATATCTATATAATTTTTAAAATATTTTTATTTATATATAGGTATATATATAGTGATATATACGTATATATTTATGTATATAGATATATATATATTATTTCGTTCTATGTGTATTTTGATATATATATATATATATTAATTTCACAATACAGTTAGAACAAAATAACACTATCTATATATTTTTTTAATTATTTTATTTTAGTATTTTTGTAATTTTATTTTTTTAAGTATTTACATTTTAATTTTTTTTTTATAATATATATAAAATATATATATATAACAATAATTATATATATATTTAATCAGTATCGGTGTCGTGTAATTTGATATTAATATATATATATAATTATATATATATTAATAGTAAAATACACTTAGACAGTGTACATGTGTGTATGTATATGTGTATATATATACTTTGATCATATATATATAATATATATATATGATCTAAGTATATATTATTTATTTTTTTACACTATTTATTTATTTCATTTTTATTTTCAGCCAGCAGGGGGACCACCTGTCATTACAGGCAGCCCCCCTGCTGGCAATACAGAAGCCAGCTATCCCCGACCATGTGATTGTGGGGTCCTCGCTAGGACCCCACTCTCACACGGCCGGGGGGCTTCCTGGAGGACGGTCGTGCCGCGGGGGGCTCCCTGGGAGTCCCCCACCCCCGCGATAGCGTGGGACCGCCGGCGACCGGGTAAGTACAGAAAGACCGGAGGGCGTACTATTACGCCCGGCGGCGTTTAGCGCCGCTTATTAGAGAACGTAATAGTACGCCCTCCGGTCTTAAGGGGTTAACCTATGGGTCACTTAGTATAAACTATGTAAACAATAGCAGAGCCTTGTGAAGGCCTTTTCTCCATGCATCAGGAGTTGAGCTCAGTTTGAGCAATGAAAGAGAATACCCTGCACTCCAACCCTCTCTCAAATGGATAATTCTGGTGATCCTCCTGACAGCCATGCTTTAGATTTTGATTTATGTTCTTCTAAAGTTAAAATCAAAGATTCCATCTAGTGCTATTTTATGGCTCAGCTGTATTTTTTATTTATATGTTAATTTAAGTGATTTCCCTATCAACATTTGTTTGCAGGGCACTTGTCCTATTCTTACCACCATTTTACTTCCTTTTGCAGCCTTCTAACCCTTTCCAGGACATTTATAGAGGCATTTTAGTGCCCAAACATTTTTCCAAGTTCGTCCGAACCCGCCGGATCCGAACATCCAGGTGTTTGCTCAACTCTACTTGTAACACTAACGAGTCACATGACACCGGGGAGGGAAATTGGCTAATTGGGCCCAATTTGGACATTTCCACTTAGGGGTGTACTCACTTTTGTTGCCAACAGTTTAGACATTAATGGCTGTGTGTTGAGTTATTTTGAGGGGACAGCAAATTTACACTGTTATACAGGCTGTACACATACTACTTTAAGTTGTAGCAGAGTGTCATTTATTCAGTGTTTTCACATGAAAAGATATAATAAAATATTTGCAAAAAGGTGAGGGGTGTACTCACTTTTGTGAGATACTGTGTGTGTGTGTGTATATATATATATATATATATATATATATATATATACCGAAAGAATTGAGAGCACTCAATGGATTTAGAAATCAATATATTAAATATAACGCATACAAATCAACGTTTCGACCGTCTAGCGGTCTTTATCAAGATTTTGATAAAGACCGCTAGACGGTCGAAACGTTGATTTGTATGCGTTATATTTAATATATTGATTTCTAAATCCTTTGAGTGCTCTCAATTCTTTCGGTTTATATTTTGCACGGAGAGGCACCTGGTAATTGCTGGATGCGATTTATTGATTATTATTTTTGGGATGAGTGCCAGAAACTGTTGAATTTTATATATATATATATGTATATATATATATAAATAAAATATATATGAGTATAATAAATATGTTATATATAAGTACACTTGGTACTGAAGAACATTTAAACCAACTGAGGTCACCAGGATCTCTAGGGGTTTGTGCTCCCCAAGGCATTACTTCAAATAGCAAGAATTCATAATGCATACTTTCTGGTAAAACACTTCCTATAGACAAATAAA